GTATTTAGGATCAGCTGTTTAACGCTCTTTAAGGAAATAAAAGCTGTTTACAGTGAGACGTAACACAGTAATACAAGAAGCAGGTGGCGCATACACAGAATGTCCCATAAAGATGCATACTCTATGCTGACGTATCTAATGGTTGTGTGTGTAGTAGATCTTTTTGGGGCAACTTGTAGTTAATTAAACTTTGTTATCAGCGGGTGGGGTAGGGGGTCGACGGTTTACATTATCGAAATTGTGTTACTTCCAGCTGCGCATTGCTGACCTGTTTGTGTTCTGTAGCTGATACCAAATACTTAAATCATATTCTGATGGTAGGATTCGGTCCCTCGAGTCCCTGTCTTCAGTTCGCTTAATGAAGATTAATGGCATTGCGTCTTGTTTCGGCTTATAACTACTCGGTCATATTCAGGGCGTACGATTGAAACTCGCTGTTTGTAATGCAGTCCGTTGAAAACTTTAATTCAAGAGTGAGATATGTGGCGTTTTAAGTTTTCCTCAGCAGAGACAAAAATTGTTTTAATGCTCAGTACTGCTTGTAATACCGTCAATAATTAGTTTTTTATGTTGACAAGCTAATGGATTTATACGTCTCCCGCGCCATAACCTCTGGCCTTTCATTTTGCTGTTTTAATATTTTTAATAAAATCAGCAACATGATGTGGCCGTTTGAAGTAATCCCATTTTTGCACCAAAGTCCTCAAAGCCGTGTTACCTGTTTTCTGTTGGAGCAGAGTTTTGCTTCCGAAAGCATCGCTCGGCCTTCGGGATAGGATCGCTTTTCCCGGCGAAAGGGAAGGAAATGCCCAGTTAACTTCTCTGTGCGCCCTTTTCAGAAGTTTCGCCTACTTCGCCCGCTTGTGCGTGCCTCGTAAATACACTGAGTTGTGCCATTGTAATTTCTTTGAGCTGATTCAGCTGCTCTCAGACGCATGGACCCGTTTCCCCTTTCAAGTTGCTACAGCGCGCCAAGTCCTGTAACACTTGAATGTTGTGCGTTTGGTAAGCAATTAAATGCATGGAGAAAATTGTCCGTTCTGAGAGTGTTCAGAAAGTGTTGTTAGGATGAACAGGTCGAGGAGGGTGAGATGTGCTGTGAATGTAGCTCGCAAGACAGAAGTGATGAAAAGTGCGTTCAGAATTTTAGTCGGATGGCGTGAGGAAAGAGACCACATGATCGACCTAGTCGTCGATGGGATACGATGAAGAAAGGGGGTGGAAGGTTGTGGATTGGATTTATTTTGGCTCAGAACAGGGAGCGGTGGCTGGCTGTTGTGAACACGGTGATGAACCTTGAGGTTATATAAAAGACGGATAATGTATTTATCAGCTGAGCTACTGTGCTGCAAGCCCCGCCCATCATGCTGTGGTTACTGACACATCCCTGCACTGTAAGTTAACCGACGTTTAGGACTCCGTCATCAGGGTGATCGCAACCCCGTTTCATCGAGGTATGTGCGGGGTTTGGGGGTCGATGGTTCTTGGGGATTCAAGGAGACGAGGAAAATTCTCAGTTCGGCTTTGAATGTCCGAATTGTGAGTCAGTGCCAGGACGAGTGCTGCAGAATGCAGAAGACAGCTAAGTTCCTTGTTTACTGCTGGACGGCTTGACTTGAACTACGTACTTTATTTACATTACAAAAAAAATGATCGTGAAACTGCATTAAGAAACTTGAACAAAAGTAATTTGCATTAGTTTAATGCGCTTTACAGCCCCAGCGACACTCGGAGCGACGTGTGTCTCGTGAAACACTGGCGCCTTTGTTCCTGCGTGCGTCGCCTGCGAGGTAGATAGAGAGGTAACGCGCGCCCGAAGACGCTGATGAAAGTAGGAGACATTTAATAGGAAACACCGTCGCAGAACGGGAGCTTCGTTTGGAGGTCTGGGAACGTAATTGGGCGATAAAACGAGTGAGGATGAATTGGGCAGGGGATGGGATGCGGAGATCCGTATTGCATACAAAACCCTTGACGGACAACCTGCAGGGTAGAAAGAGACTGCCTGGTAGACGTAAGCGTGGATGGGAGGATAACATTAGACTATAGTTTCTTGTAATTAAGCGGCGTGTGAGACTGTTAATTGAATACATCTGCCTCTGGACAGGATCCGATGACGTCGTAGTGCGTTCTTTTTCCCGTGAAGTTAAAAGTACAGTGGTAATTATCTAAACCACCTGCTTCAACAGTCAGTTTGCCTCTATTTCGCCCCCACATCGTGAACAAGAATCGATTGTTTCCTTTGTCGTGGAGACGCTTTGCGTTTTCTTTGCGGTACGAACTGTTCGTTGGACGAGCTTCGGCTTCAGGGTGTCAGTCCGTCGAAGATTTCTGTTTGCAGCAAACACGGG